ATATATATATTAATATATTTAATTATAGTTGACATTCAATATTATTCTACATCAGCTTCAGGTGTACAGTGCAGTGGTCAGACATCTACACAGTGTATGAAGTGATCCCCCGATAAGTCCAATACCCATCTGGCACCCTACATAATCTTTACAACATTATTGATTATATTTCTCATACTGTATTTCACATTCTTGTGACTACATGAAATACAGTATAGGAAATATAATGAATAATATTGTAAAGATTTTGTACTTCCTAATCCCTCACATTCTCCCCCATCCCCCAATCCCCCTCCCATCTAGCAACCATCAGTTTTTTCTCTGTTATCTGAGTCTATTTCTGTTTTGTTTGCTCATTTATTCTGTTCTTTAGATTCCATATATCAGTGAGATCTTATGATATTTGTCTTTCTCAGTCTGACTTATTTCACTTAACATAATATTCTCTAGGTCCATCCACGTTGTCACAAATGGTAAAAGTTCATTATCTTTTATGGCAGAGTAATATTCCATTGTATAAATGTACCACAATTCCTGTACCCAATTATCTACTGTTCTTTCAAAAACAAACATCATTTTACTAGGAAGTAAATGTGTTGTAGTCATACCTGCAAGTAATCCACAACTCACAGTATTAGAAGTTCAAAAGAACTCAACTGATTAGGTTTTAATAGACGGATTTATTTCAGAAAGCTGAAAACATATATGAAATAATTTTCAACTGGTATCTGCTTACCTTCAATTGAACTCTTTTCTGCCTCTCATACTCACTCCAAAGAGATGAACAGGACTATACTACTGAAACTTAATTAACCAAAATGATATCATGTTTTGCAAATAAGTCTGGTATGATGGAAAACTCTGGAGCAGAAATACGCCAGTGGATAAAGACAGGAACTTTAAGAATTGACCATATACCACAATTTGGAGCAAAACCTGAAATACAGCTTCAGATACTCACCAGTGAAATGATTAGAAGTGGATGGATTGACACTATCAACACTGTCAGCACTGTCACAGCTAAAAACTTCATGATCTGATTCCTGCACAGAGGAACAGAGTGAGGAGTTGTCAATTTCTTCACACTTCCCCCTTAAAATTCCACTCATAGCTGCAGCGTTGTCACATGTACCTGTAACAGGAATGGGAGCAGAGCACTGAAACATTTGACCACCTATTGCATTGTCCAGGTTTCCAAATCGTTTTTTGAGGCCATATTTTTTTGAACATCTACCACATTATCATATCCATACAGAAATTATTCCTTCCATAATGTTTGAAAACAATTCTACCCTGATTTGTTATGATTTGCATCCTCATCTGATACAGTATTTTATAAGAAGTCAAAATTAAGAATTGGAACCATAGTGCTGCATAAGAAAATATGGTTCCCTGTTTTGAAACATCAAAACAGGAGTCAAATTCATTTTTCTGATTTGTTCTAGTAAATCGTGTACTGTCTTTGACAGAACCAGAGTTCAGAATGAAAGAGATCACTCACTCGCATGCTGTCATACGCAGAGAATACTGATTAGGGCATGTCTATCTCGCTTGGGATTTCTTTTTTCTCAGGTACAAAGGCATCTACTTTCCTGGGGCTCTTTGTCCATCAAAAATCAAATTGGTTGCTAGGAATGGCTTTACCTGCAGAATTTAGATGTCTTATCATGTTTCCAGTCAATTTAGCAGAGCTACAGGGAATATTTGAGTCCTATGCCAAGGAGGTAGGCTCAATAAATTTTATAAGGGGTAAACCACAGTCCCTAAATCTTTTACTGGGTAAAATATTAATTTAAGTCTCTTCACTCTTTGTATCAACATGTTTAGTGAAAGCCAGTCAGAGGTAGACTGATGCGCTTTTTAAAATTTAGATGAGTCATTAAACCTCTGAGAGGAATAATTTCTTCACAGCTATATAGAGTAACTGTTAAGGTTATCAGCAGTTGCAAACACAAATTCCTACTAACGCAGGTAACCTCAATGAGTAAAGAGGACCAGATATAATAAAATCATTAAGTCATCTTAGTCTTCTCCTTTGTCTATCCTAAGGAAAACGATAGCATAGGCACAATAAAAATGATCTCACAACAAATGAATCAGTAGGTTGTAAGTAGTGTGAACTGTGGAGAACTAGAGATACAAGCCAAGGCGAAGGCGAAGAGAGAAGCTGCCGCTCAGGTCCAGCTCATCTCTGCTCCGATTTCTCCCAATTTTATCTACTCTAAAATCTGACCAATGCCCCATTCACATTCAGAAGCAGTGTTTACATTGTTAGGTTTCCCATCCACCATCTTCCTTTCCCATATTAATTTTGCTTCTAAAATTAAAGGAGCGATTTTTAGATTACATTATAACTTACAGACCAACTTGGACTGGCTCTGCAAGATAGGCAAAGAATGGTTCAGATCCGTGACTTGACGGGGTTAACAGACTAAGAAATCAAAACATTCTCTTCCCCATTAGCCCAACATAACACCTTGAAATAGCTTTGCTAGAGATACATCAGTTGAGAGAACAAACTTATTTTACAAAAGACACCTGCAATGACAGATGGCATGCTACCAAGGAGAGATGGCACCTTAAATCATCACGCTTCAGCGTGGCAGTCCTATCTATGCCCTCTGGGTGTCAGAAACAAGTCTCTCTACAGTGACTTTCTTCAAAAGGTAGCAACCTTAGGACTGGCCACTGTCCTTGTGCCCCTCACTGATCTTAGTCTCCTTCAGTTTTGTAGCTACATTTCCTTGGGACACACTTGTTCCAGGTCCTTCTGGTGACTAGCTTCCTCCTTCTGTACTTCCTGTGTCCTTGTATCTGCGGCTAGAATATGGCTTTTGCTTTTGACAGACTTGCCTCTACCCCACTGTATCCTGAAAGCCTCAATTCTGAACACCAATTGACTCGTTCTTTCAGTATATCTCAGCTCAGATTTTTGAGAAAGGGAATCTGAGTGTTCTCTTTTGGTCATTTATGCCATTCTACAGAAAACGAATTTGTCTTCTGCGCTTTGTTTAGGGGCCACCTATCATTTATGCAGTAAACACCTATTGAGCTTTCATCATGTACCAGTCACTACTTTAAATACTGGGAAATGATAAAGTAACAACAGCAAAAATTCCTCCCTCTAATGGTGCTCACTTACTGGGTATTGTTGGAGGAGGGGGTAAAGAAATAATAAACAGATAAGTAAATTAAACACAGAGGGTGNTTGCCTATCCAATATATTTTTCTTCCTCCTATTTTTGTTCTGGTAGCATACTCTACATCTCATTTTTTATTTCAAAAATGGGTAAATGAATGAGATCTAGCCAATCAAAGGCTTCATACCTTGGCCAGTGATTGGTTCAGTGAAGGCCATGTGACCAAATGCTAGGGTTATCAGTCTGGTCACTTCAGAAAAGAGCCAATACTATGCGATCCAATGGAAGAAATTTCATATAGTGAACTAGTTATAAAGTTGTTTTTTTTTGTTTTAAAGATCTGAGATGCCAAACAAAACAGAGAAAACAAAGGAACTCAGAGATTAGAAACAACAGGGAGATGCTTACACCCCTCTAGCTGGAGGCACAAGGAAGGAGTGACATCACCCGAGCGCAAGGCCTGGTGCTTCTTGATGGGAGCCAGATCTGTGGGACGGCTGCTGCTACATGGGGGCTGTGACCATGAAAGCAGGCTTATTACAGCAAGGGCTGGAACCATGGACGTGTGGGTTGGAATACTGTGTCAGATGGGTATTGGACTTATTGGGGGGATCACTTCATAAATTATGAATTATATATATTACACATAGATTATATATGCCTAATCACTGAGCAGTACACCTGAAACTAATATAAAATAATATTGAATATCAATTATAATTAAATATATATATTTATATANGATTCCACATGCAAGTGAGATCATGTGATTCTTGTCTTTCTCAGTCTGACTTATTCCACTTCTTACCTTCTAGGTTTTAGATAGGACCAATTCAGATACATTGTACCACTCTATGGTTTTGTTTTGGCAAATAAAATTAACAACAGAAAAGTAAGTCTTGCTTTCCTTTATCACTCTATAGGAATACTTCTTTTAGTTTGGTGGAGAAGAGGAAATATATGGATAGTGACAACAATCAAGGGTGTACTTATTCATGGAAAAAATGGAGGCAAAGAGTTAATAACTATATTACCTCCCATCTTCCCTAAAGTTACTTATTCAAGATTTTTAAAAAGTCAAATGCACAGCCACTACCTGCCACTGCAGGGATTATGGGCCTCTGGCTTTGGGGTTGAGCCTGTTTGAAAGCAGAGGGTCTCCAGCTTAAAGTTACTTGGTGACCTAAAGTGACTATTATTTGGTTGAGGAGACTATTTTATCTTCAAGTGACTTGTGGAGGTTTAAAACAAATGCAGAAAATTTCCTAAAGACTAAGAGCTGCTGATGGATTTTTTTTTAATGTTTATATACCTTAAACTTATTAGTTATAGGAAACTATTTGGAAATTTTTTCCTTAATTAATACAAAATCAATGTAAATAATTTGTGTGGATTTGCTTTTAGTTTCTGGTGACCTGAAGAATCTTTCACAAAGTCATTAAAGAGACTGAACTGTATGATTAGGTATCTGAGTAAACACAAAGAAAGAGTGGGAAAAAGATATCCCAAAGCATAACACTTGTTGAGAGAAAGGGAGAGAGCCTCCATCCTACTTTGTGTTTGCCAATCTGATTCCACTGTAGTGTACGCTGGTTGTAGTACTAAAATTGCGATGTTAAAATTATTACCACGGCAACAGAAAGTGAGATAATGGAGGATAAACTAAGTTGTGAGAGAGATTAAGATACTACCTCTATTCAAATGTCTGCAGTAATAGGTGGGAAGGGAGAGCCACCGAGGGAAAAAAATAGTTACTAGAAATGTTCTTGATAAGAGTTAATCCCATCCACATATCAAGTGAAAGCAATCCTAAACAATATTAAGAGTCACTCCATAATACAGAATGCTGTTTGGAGAGTATATGGCTGGAAGAAATTGTTAGCACACAGAGGGAAGTACAGATGACTTGATTTATATTTTCTTGCACCTTAAAGATTATTTTATTAGTTGTATTTTTGTTAGAAGTAAAAA